GGGCGCCGCAACGCCGACCCACGAGGCCCGAGGCAGGCGACCGCAACCAGCCTAACCGATGAAAACAATGGCGTGACTTCCTTCCGAGTCCACCTCGGTACCAGCCACCCCGCCCACGCAAGTTTGACACATGGGCGTCGCGATGGGTCGAAGGCGGTGGGCGGTGGTGTCCTTAGGGATGATGGTGGGCGGATATCTCGCCCTCGCTGCTCTCACACAGCTGGCGAACCTGCCTGAGGGAAAAGGTGAGGCGGGGGAAGCTCTGGTTTCCGCCATTACCGCAAATGATACGAATGCGACGCTAGAACCATGACTTCGGCCTCGATTGGAGTTCGTAAAAAAAGATTACTTGTTTATAGTGATGCAAGAATTCATACAAAATTGTAATACAAGTAATGGGTTTGCAAATTTGTACTTTAGTGCAGACGTTATGGTTTGATGATAAATTACGGGCAACTTACTCCGAAGTCTAGCCTCCATCACATTTGGATGGTTTGCGGTGATGGTGTTAATAGTGTGCTTATAAATTACTTTGATTTGTACGTGAGTTTGCATGTGGAAATTACTTTATGAAATGGCGAGTATGAGTATATAGCTCCATAAATACCAAAAATGCGTTTATTTTAACCGACAAAGTATATGAAAATTAAATCCCTTCATAAAAGGTATAAGAATTGGCTTTCAAAGATACACTCGACAAAATTTGATAATTTAAGATTGATTCAGTTGTATTCTTATATATATTGACTGATGACTTAAAGGCTGTGCTTAGAATTATGACGGTAGTCGAGGGAGGATCACAGAGGACAATATCAAAGTTAAGGGATTCGATCAAATATTTTCCTTGTCGACAATCACCCAAGTGTATTAAGCATAAGCATTTTAATTACACTTTCTATGATGTGTTATTGTTTGCCTGTCCTGCTCATACCCATAAATAATGTAAATGATACAATTCATCTCTTGGCTTTTTTTTCTTTTTTTTTTCTCTTGAAGCCATCACCATTGACATCGTCTTTTATTATTGCATCTTTTTTCTCCCGTTGATATTACACTAATAAATTCCGAGTCACGGTGCCACGGGAAAATGTTTGACAAGGGAAAAACTGAAATATAAACCCATTTTTTAAACTGATTAATTTATCTAATATGTTTGAGTTTTATCCAATGGAGATTTTAATATATATTTTTATTCAAACCTGGAAAGAGAGTGAGAGAGAGAGAGAGAGAGAGAGAGAGAGAGAGAGAGAGAGAGAGAGAGAGAGAGAGAGAGAGAGAGAGAGAGAGAGAGAGAGAGAGGGAGAGAGAGAGAGGGAGAGAAGAGAGGGAGAGAGGAGAAGGAGAGAGAGAGAGAGAGGGAGAGAGAGAGGAGAGAGAGAGAGAGAGAGAGAGAGAGAGAGAGAGAGAGAGAGAGAGAGAGAGAGAGAGAGAGAGAGAGAGAGAGAGAGAGAGAGAGAGAGAGAGAGAGAGAGAGAGAGAGAGAGAGAGGAGAGAGAGAGGAGGAGAGAGAAGAGAGAGAGAGAGAAGAATCAAGCTCAGGTTAGCGTGAGCCATTCTCAAATCCACTCTCTCTCACCCATTCATATCCACGCTTTCAAATACGGCTCCGTCTACCCCCTCGCCCCGATCTCCTATTCCCCCCCCCCTCCCCACACCACCACCACCACTATGCATGACAATATCCATTTCCTCCTTCCACCCATCTCCTACCCCCTTACCCCCCCCTCCATTCAATACTCGCTCTCTCTACGTGGCAAATATTCCCCTCCTTCCTCCCCCTCCCCCTCTCCCTCCTCCTTGCAATATTCCTCTTCCTACCCCTACTAAGTCCTATCTTTACTCCCTGCTTGGCAACATCTCTCCCCTCCTCCCTGATTTCTCTCACCGTCTCCTACTCCTCTCCCTGCGTGATAATATCTTCCCTTTCTGCCTCCTCATTCGTCGTCTGACCCACCCTCCTATACTCTCCTTCCTACATGGCCCCTTCCAATCCGTCTCCCGCTCCTCTCCCTGCATGATAATATCCCTCCCTTCCTTCCTTCCTGCTCCCCACCTCCTAAATCGTCTCCTACTACTCTTCTCCCTGCATGGCAGTCTCTCCCTTTCTGCTCCCTCCTACTCCTCTCCCTTCATTTCCCCCCCCTCCCCTACAACCCGTCTCCTACCTCTCCCTGCATGACAATATCCTCTCCTCCCCCCCGCCTCCCTTCCAGCGGCAACCGTTTCCAACTCGCTGGCAGACACACCCGCAGTTTCCCAGCGCCAATTTACGTGTTGTATTGTTATGGGCCGACATTAAACTGCCGATTGTCGCAATGTCAATCCCCGTCGACGCCTCCCCCTCCCCCCACCCCTTCCCCCTTCTACTCAAACCTCGTCCTTCCCTTACCCCTGTCATACTCTCCTCCCTCCTTCCCCTGCTACCCAAGCCTCCCTCCCTAACCCTCCCTTACCCCTGTCCTGTACCTCTCTCCTCCCCCCTACTCTTCGTCGGGTAGTTAGAGCAAAAGGCACACGGCAACAGAGGTGACGGAATGTCCCGCCTAACAAGTAACGGTCGTTAACGGTCTCCTGTTTGAATTTAAATTAGCTCGTGACATGATTACCTCACGTGAACGATTTTTCGATGCGTTCCCCGCAGTTTATAGGCGGCGGTGCTGAGGTTAGCCCGTCATGACGACCATAACGGAGACTGAACTGTTCCCCCGATACATGTGCAGTGTGACCAGAGCGGAAAATTATGGTTTAGGAAATACGAACTTTTTCACTGATTTTTTCTTTCTTTTTCATTTGGTCAGACCGCGCCATTCACAAATTGGAGATGCGTAGGGGTTTCCTCGTGCAAAACTACTCGCATATTTGCTTTGATCTCTAGACTCGGACAAACCTTAAATATCGCGTATGATACGTTACCATGCAGTATTGTATAGACGTGAAATATCCAATATAAAAAGTTTTTGTTCGTTTTTTTAGCAGCCTCAAGAAACACTCTCCTTAACTCTAAAGAACTTCCTTATATAAAACTTCTCTCGCCTCACGCTAGGAATTTATCGGTGAGTTTGCCTCCCTTATCCTCTCGCAAAGTAAAATGCGCAAGTTAGCAAAAATGTTCAGAACCCCAATATCTTTGGCACAGCTTGCTAGCCTCTCTCACACACGCGCGCACGTGAACCAGAGGCCACGCGGAAGAAATGTATAAATAAAATATATTTATGGATTTTCCGCTTCCGTTTATGTGTTTTTATTTAAGGATGAAAAAGTGGTTGTTGAAATGAGAGTGATATCGGGGATGGAACGAATAGAATATATTTACGATTTTCTCTCGTCTTTTATGTTTTGTTCAGCGGTGAGAAAGTGGTTCTTGAAATGAGAGTGATATTGGGAATCGGATAAATAGGTCATATTCATGAATTTCTCTCGTCCCAATGTTTCGTTTAGGAGTGAAAAAGTGGAAGTGAGAAGTGTAGAGAATTGAATGAATGGAATATATGATTTTCTCTGGTCTGTGTAAACGAAAAATTGATTGTTGAAATGAGAGTGATATCGGGAACTGAATAAATGAAATGTATTAGTGATTTTTCTCTCGTCAGTGTAAGCGTGAATGAATGAAATCTCTGTGTAAGTGAAAAAATGGTCAAAATGAGTGACATTGGAGACTGAATGAATGAAATATATTAATGATTTTCTCTCGTCAGTATAAGCGAAAAAGTAGTCGAAATGACATATTTATGATTTCCTCTCGTCTCTTTATATTTCGGATGAAAAAGTAAAATAGTAGGCGAGATTGTCTGCTGATCCTGGTGTCTGAGGAATAGGCAGCAGAGACCAGGATATACAACAAAAGTGAAAACAATAATAATAACAGTAAAAGTGGCGAAAGTGAGAGAGATATGGGCTCGCTTGTTTCATCTCACGCGTTGAAAAACGAAGAAAAATGCTGCTGTACAAAATCCGAACGATCAAAAATGTTAGAAAAATGGAGGCACAAACGTTGGCTGTTTTTTTTTTTACATATTCTTTTTTTGTTTGTTTGTTTGTTTGTCTGTTTGCTTGCTTTGGCGATCTGAGGTATAAGTATATAATTTTTTTTTTCATTTTATTATTTTTTATTATTATTATTTTATTATTATCATTTATTATTATATTATTATTATTATTATTATTATTATTATTATTATTATTATTATTATTATTATTATTATTTTCAATGATTTGGAAAAATCGGGAATTCTTATATAAACTTTGATGTTCACACATACTCGACGGCAACTGTTTAATATATATATATATATATATATATATATATATATATATATATATATATATATATATGTATATATTATGTTATATATATTTTTTTTAATTTTCATTTTATTATTTTTTATCATTGCATACTTGCATAGATTTACATCCTTTGTCCAGATCCTGAGAAAATGTATATTCACTTTGTTCTCGTTGAAACTATATGAAGAACTGGTAAAAACTGAAGAGAGAGAGAGAGAGACAGAGACAGAGAGACAGAGACAGAGACAGACACAGACAGACAGACAGACAGACAGACAGACAGACAGACAGACAGACAGACAGACAGACAGACAGACAGACAGACAACCAAACAACCAAACAAACAACCAAACAGAACCAAAACCAGTCAGGCAGAAAGAGAGAGAAAACAAAACAAAAAAAGAGAAGAAAAAAATAAAAGAACAGCCAATCTCCCTCTGGAAAGATATATTATCATCGCCGGCAGAGCAACACGGATAAAACAGATCACGCCAACGGTAATATAACTATCCACATCATCCCCGAAAGAGCGATCAGCTGGGCGATATATCAGACAAAATTCCTCGTTTTCTTTGATATCCATTCTCGCAGGGGTAACTGATGAGTTCATGCATTAGTGTCCAGCCTTTCGATGGCCGGCCTTGGGACTGCTTTGTCGTGCAGCTTGAGTCAGATGCCGAATTTATGATTAAGGAAATTGGCCCTAAATCCCTGCGGCGTCTTTTATGCGCAGCGGGTTTTCGTCCTTGAAATCCTGGAGGTGTCAAGGTATTTGAAAAATATGGAAATAGCTTGGCAAAATGGAATGGGTCCAGCTTACTCAGGCGGAATTCTCACGGGCAGTCCTTGTCCCTTTTTATGATATTATTTACGTTATGGTCGATTTCGTGTTTTTTTTTTCTCGCTCTTTTATTATTCTTTAGTTTTATTTCGTCATGCGCATGGGATATTTTCTTTTTCT